TCAGGTATAAAGTTTAACACTATATAAAGCTGTCCTCCAGAAGACCTGCCTTGGCTAACTGATTATTATTATGCTCAAGTCTAGGCACTTCACTTGATCACAGGTTTCAAAAGCCAAAAATGAATGCAGCCACCATAAGAGTCGATACAATCAGGCTGTATTAGTAGCAGCAGATTGTTGAGTAGTAATAAAAAGCACAAAGGTTTCACTTTCCAAATCCTATTATGAAAAAAATAAATAAATAAAAAATAAAAAGCACAAAGGTTTAGAGTTAGGAAGACTTTAAATTCCAGCTTAATAAAATCTTCAGTAAACTATTGAATCTTAACTTTCAACACCCTCTTACATTTCAGAACTTAAAACCACCCAGTACATGTGAAGTAACTGGCATATTGGTTTAGTGTCTCCACTGGTGCTCTTGTTCATTCTCAAGCCCTTCCTCCACATCTCTCCTTTGCTCTGCCAGACCCTATCTAAATACATTTGCTTCTGACAATGCAGTTTAAGAGGTACACATGAACAAATCATTAAGGAAGAGTAAGGCCCAGCCTGAGCAATAGTAAGACCCCATCTCTACTAAAAATAGAAAGGAATTAGCTGGCCAACTAAAAATATATAGAAAAAATTAGCTGGGCACGGTGGCACATGCCTGTAGTCCCAGCTACTTGGGAGGCTGAGGCAGAAGGATTGCTTGAGCCCAGAAGTTTGAGGTTGCTCTGAGCTAGCTGATGCCTTGGTACTCTAGCCCTGGCAACAGAGACTCTGTCTCAAAGAAAAAAGAAAGAGTAAGGCAACCAAGAGGGCAGGAGAGCTAGCTAGACATCATAGCATAAAGATTCCAAGTTTACAAGCAAGCCATCCTTAAACCATTGTAGTTTAGCCAGAAAGACAAAGGAATAACCTTTTCCAGCACTATTTTGACAAACTGAATATATGTGGGAAGCTGGCTCAACATAAGGACTGAGAAACAAATGACCCAGCAACAAAATAAGTTCCAGAACTAACATCATCGAAGGAATTCAAGCAGACACTTAATCACCCAATACAGCAACTGCAGAATCAACCGAAACACTAGAATACAAGCCCTAATTAGATACTGCCAAATACCAAGCATTATTTTACATGGTTGTTTGTTTGGTATGTTTGGTTTTCTAGTTTGTTTTACTTGCCTTGCCTCTCTGTGATACAAACACTGTTGGTTTACCCAGAATTATAAACAGTCCTCACAATAAAATCCCTTTTTGCCAATCCATATCTGTACAAGTCTGAGAGTATGACATATCAGTAGGACTTATAACAGATAACAGAAAGAGGAAAAAAGAAAATCCATTTTCAGGAATTTCTCCCTAAAATAAAAATCAGTAAAAATAAGTACTTGCTTTGCTTTTAAATGCTACCACCAAAAAACACCATCCAAATTCACCTTGAGGCCACTGACCAACCTGAACTTACCTTCAGTGATAGGCTAGCCAACACTGTCCAGTAATACAATTTACTAGACTCTCCCTAGTGCTGTACTTCTTGGAAACCTAATCGTGGTCAGCAAGACACAGAACAAAAACCAAAATAAGTAGTCTGTGAATGTACAAGAGACCCGAACGCCTCCCTCATGCTATTGCTAGGCATCATAACAATCTCTCTCGGGATTTCTAGAAACTATAGAATATTAACTGTGACCTTTAATCACTTCATTTGCTGTGACATTTCTTACTTTGATATTTAATTTTAAATCAGTGTGGGTACTCTTGTTTCTCAAACTAGACTGTAAATTCCTGGTGGGTATAGAAATCACCTCCATTTCCCACCAAAAAAATCACCTCCATTTTTTTATAGAAATCACCTCCATTTCCCTGTATCTGTCAGGGCAAATTTTAAAAAAAACAAAGCAGGCTGGGCGTGGTGGCTCACGCCTGTAATCCTAGCACTCTGGGAGGCCAAGGCGGGCGGATTGCTCAGAGGCCAGGAGTTCGAAACCAGCCTGAGCAAGAGCGAGACCCCGTCTCTACTATAAATAGAAAGAAATTAATTGGTCAACTAATATATATAGAAAAAATTAGCCGGGCGCGGTGGCTCACGCCTGTAATCCTAGCACTTTGGGAGGCCGAGGCGGGCGGATCACTCAAGGTCAGGAGTTCGAAACCAGCCTGAGCGAGACCCCGCCTCTACCAAAAATAGAAAGAAATTAATTGACCAACTAAAAATATATATACAAAAAATTAGCCGGGCATGGTGGCGCATGCCTATAGTCCCAGCTACTCGGGAGGCTGAGACAGGAGGATCGCTTGAGCCCAGGAGATTGAGGTTGCTGTGAGCTAGGCTGACGCCACAGCACTCACTCTAGCCTGGGCAACAAAGCGAGACTCTGTCTCAAAAAAAACAAAACAAAACAAAACAAAACCAAAACACTCTAGTCTGGGCAACAGAGACCTTCTATCAAAAAAACAAACAAAAAAATAAAATGAAAATAAAAATCTAGGGTTTGGAAGCAATAAATTTCACCATTGACATCACAACACTTAGATTAATATTATAGATTTCCTTTATTTTAAAGGCATATTAGTGCTGACTTTGGCAGCACATATGCTAAAATTGCCCCAAAAGAAAGATTAGCATGGCCCCTGGATGCAAATTCATGAAATGTTCCATATTTTAAAATAAAAATAAAGCATATTAATCACTTTCTGAATTCATGAATATCCCTTCTGTGCCTGGGGAAAAAATAATCACTTTCTGAAAATAAACTTTTTTCAAAATATCAAAATGTTTGATTTTTGTATTAATATATTATTTCAACTTGCAGAACACTCATCTGTCATTGTAGAAGCACTCTAATAAAGCAGGATCTAAATGTGAAATTACAATTTGCAAATTACAACTTTTCATTAAATATTAACTGTTATAACATCACACACTCAAGGAAACTAGAAGTGGCAATGAGCATTTCTAGTTCATAGTATTCCTCCACTAAAAGATATAAAAAGCAACCTGGTGGTGGCAGCATAATACAGTTTCTTAGGAAAGGTTTTTTTTTTTTTAGACAGAGCCTCACTCTGCTGCGGGGGCTAGGGCTAGAATGCCTTAGGGTTAGCCTAGCTCACAGCAACCACATAGTCCTGGGCTCAAGCAATCCTGCCTCAGCCTCCCAAGTAGCTGGGACTGCAGGCATGTACCACCATGCCCCGCTAATTTTTTCCATATATTTTTAGGTGGCCAATTAATTTCTTTCTAATTTTAGTAGAGACGGAGGTCTTGCTCTTACTCAGGCTGGTTTCAAACTCCTGACCTTCAGCAATCCTCCCACCTTGACCTCCCAGAGTGCTAGGATTACAGGCATAAGTCACCGCACCCGCCTTTTTTTTTTTTTTTTGGAGACAGTCTCCTTCTGTTGCCTGGGCCACCATGCCATGGCATCAGCCTAGCTCACAGCAACCTCAAACTCCTGAGCTCAAGCTATCCTCCTGCCTCAGCCTCTGGAGTAGCTTAGTTAGGACTACAAACACCACCATGCCCGGCTAATTTTTTCTATTTTTAGTAGAAAATGGTCTCACTCTTGGCTCAGGCTGGTCTGGAACTCCTGAGCTCGCCTCGGCCTCCCAGAGACCCAGGATTACAGGCGTGAGCCACCTATCCTGACCAGTAAATTTCTTAAATACATAAATCTATTGGTTCATGGGCAAAGAATTCCCACTGGTCCAGGAAACATCTAGAATATTTCACTAACTCAAATATACTAAAGGAAGGCAAAGAAGAATATTAACCTGGCAAACAGTTTAGATTCTTATGATACAGGGGAGGAACTAGAAAAAGGAGAAACAGGGAAAAGTACCTAACAGAGGGGAAAGTACAGTGTTGAAAGTGACAATGAATTCTATGCAGAAATGTAAAGTTGTGGTTAATTTACCAATACAATAGGATAGGGAGATGAAAAATCAGGTTGGTGATGGGTACTCAAGGCAATTCTGTATTTAGGTTGGAGATAGTGGGCAAAAATCAAGACATCTTATGTAATTCTTAACTCACATTTTGAAGGAAGACTATTTTTATTATATGGAGGCAGAGTGGCTGCAGGGTGAACAGCTAGAAAGCTCAGTAATAAAAAGATACTACTAGTTTTTAATTTTAAAAGATAACAACTAGTACATATAAATCAACTATAGCATTGTAGAGAAAAGAGAAATAAATAGAAATTCAAATAACTGGTTCTATGAACAGGAACTTAAAATTTTTCATTCCTTGGAAATATTGCACTTGATTCCATTCTTAGCATCTACCGATGAATAAGGCAAGTTACCTGAAACTGCCTTTATCCTTTCTGATTCCCATTATTGAAAATGATTAAGCTTACCCTTCATATCTTAAATATATAATAAAGATGGAGAAAGCATCAATCTCGCCACTAATATCACATCAAAGACTGGGAATGCTTCCATCTCACCTTTATTACTACGACAGTCAGTTCTGTATATTAGGAGTATGTTTACGTTTTAACATATGCACCTAAATTATCCCACCCAGTTGAAAACCCACATTAAATAGGATTTTTTGTCAACCGATATAAAAAAAACTTACAGCCCCTACTGGTCACTGTTTAAAAATCGGAGTATAACAAACACAATTAAACGCCTTCTTATGAGCACAGCTCGGTAATTCTTTACATGCGTACACGTCCGTATAAACGCCATCTCTTATTTTTCTGATATTTTCGTCTCCTACAAAACCGAAACCCAATCTGTCATTGGAAAGGGACGAGCTCTTTCACTCCCTTAAGAAGTAAGATGCGAGAATTTCAAAAGAGGAACACAGTGCTGGGGGAGGGTAATAATGGCAGCTCATAAAAATCCAGGGCGGAGGAGACGACCCCAGGCCCCCGATCGCTCGGTTCTAAGACAAAGCTCAGCACCGCCAACCTCCACAAACATACAAAGAAAAAATACAAAAGCTTTTTCTCACGGTTGGGCGGGGGGGCGGGGGCGGAGAGACGTGAAAAGACGTTACGAACGATGACACGCAGGGAGGAGGCCCGGGTGGCCCGGCCGGCTCGCTGGGGACCTCGGCCGGGTCTCCTAGGCCCGGAGAGGGTCGTTGGGAGAGCGGCTCAAAGCAACAACCTCCCGCCCCGTTTCCAAAGCTCCGGAGCTGGAGGTAGGGGCTGGGGGCATCCACCGACGCACACCCCCCTGCAGCCGGGAGGAGCCATCCTACCTAGCCCGAAAGGCGCACGCAGCCGAGTGCAGCAGGGGCAAGGAGGGAGGTGGCGGTGCAGCCCGGGAGGACGCCCCGGCGATCGCGCGCTGCCGGGCCTCCGCGGACCGCGCTAAGGCCTCTGCGGCCCGGAGGGGGTTGACGCAGTGACCAGCGAGACGCGGCGCAGCGGCTGCCGCGGTCGCGAACCCGGGTCCCGCTCCGTCCGCACCTGCTCCCCGCCGGCCGGCGGCCCTCCTTCCTCCCGCCGCCGCCCGCTCGGCCCGCGGCCCGCGGCCCCTTCCCCTCGGCCGGCGCTCAGCCACGCAACGTCCTACCTGCAGGTGACCTGTTTAGTCCAGCCGGCGCCGCTGCCGTCGCTGCCGCCGCCCCCTACTCCCGCCCCCGGGGACGGGGCGGCGACTGTGGGGAGAGGGGTGGGGGAGGCCGCTGCCACCGCCGCCGCTGCCGCTTCTGCTCCTGATGTTGTGGCTGTTGTTCCGGGAGCCGCAGCCTCCGCCATTACTGTTTATCCCACACAGCAATGGCCCCGGAACTTCCGGGATCACATAGTTCCGGTCGGGCAGCGGAGAGGAGAAGGCGGCGAGGCGAGGCAAGGAGACGGAGGCGCCCGCTCGGTCCCCAGCAGCCCCGCGCCGCGTCTCCGTGCGCTCTGGCTACTAGAGCTGCGGGCCCGGAACGTGCGCGCCCGCGGCCCGCCCCCCGCGCCGCTGATTGGTGGAGGAGACGTCTCCACCGGGGAGGGGGCGGGGCTACACGCGACTCTGGACAGGTGTGCTGCGACGCTCCAAATGCAAGCCAGGAAAGTCTATATTGATAGCCTTACTACCCCATAGTGGCCCGTGTAGTGGAATGGTGGGGATTGGAGATCTGGGTTCGAAATATCTGGGTTTGAATCCGGGCTTTCCCAAGTATGAACTTGGGGTAGATACCTGTTCTCTCTCAGCTTCAGTTTCCTCCTCTCCCTAATGAGGATGTTAGTAGGCCCTGCTTCGTAGGGTTGCTGTGAGGATTATATGTATGATATGCGCGGACATCACAGGGCTTGGTGCCTGGTAAACATTAAACACTTAATAAATGTTATCTCTTATTCCTGGTATCAGCAGTGTGACCTTTGCTAAGTATTTTAACCTCTCTAAGCTCAAGAGAATAACAACACTGTGGCTAAGAAAAGGTTCTGGAATCCACTTGTCCCCATTTTCTCCTGGCTTCTCTCCTAGCTATTGGTGTGCCTACTTTCTCCTGGAAAAAATAAAAATAATTTAAAATACACCGGTGTGTGGCCCACGCCTGTAATCCTAGCACTCTGGGAGGCCCAGGAGGGAGGGTCACTTGAGGTCAGGAGTTCAAGACCAGCGTGGTTGTTTCTGGCTTATTTCATTTAGCATAATGTCCTCCAGGTTCATGCCAAATGGAAGATCTTTTTTTAAGGCTGAATAATATGAAATATACTAGCTTCGAGGATTATTTCTAAAGATATGAAATTAAAGTATATTTATTACAATTATATTTCCCATTAATGTTCATTGTCCACTCAGATACTGCATATTAAATCCTCAGCTTCCATAGGCAGTTTTCCATAAGGCCTTATATGCTTCATTTCTATAGTCTCTCTACTTTGAGAAAGTGAAAATCAGTCTACTGATAATCAGACTGTGATGTACCTGACATACAAACAAGGACAGAGTCAGAGCCAACAGAAATCTGTGCTTCTCCCAAGGCCACACCATAGCAAAATGATTAACGATCTCCTGAAAGAAAACCAAAATAGTCTGGGCACGGTGGCTCACGCCTGTAACCCTAGCTCCCTGGGAGGCCGAGGTGGGCAGATCGTTTGAGTTCAGGAGTTCAAAACCAGCCTGAGCAAGAGCGAGACCCCATCTCTACTATAAATAGAAAGAAATTAATTGACCAACTAAAAATATATATACAAAAAATTAGCCGGGCATGGTGGCGCATGCCTGTAGTCCCAGCTACTCAGGAGGCTGAGGCGGGAGGATTGCTTGAGCCCAGGAGTTTGAGGTTGCTATGAGCTAGGCTGATGCCACGGCACTCACTCTAGCCTGGGCAACAAAGTGAGACTGTGTCTCAAAAAAAAAAAAAAAAAAACCCAAAATATTTCACTTCAAAATGTACTTCTTTGACATATTTCCAGAAGGCTATTCAGAAGAGCTAGAAACACAATAATACCGGAAATGATGTCTTTGGTGCAGGAAATTTGCATCTGTGGAGAATCTGCATTGATGCCGTCAGCCTTTCCATGAGGCCCTCGCCATTCGGATCTAAGAAAGATAAAGAGCCTGGCATCTTTAGAGGTGTGAAAGAAACATTTACCATCTATTCTCTCTGAGGGCTGCTGCCTGGGAGGTTTCATTCACATAAGAAAACCACCCTTGATAGCCAAGCCTTCTCTTCACCCCCTTCCCATAACCTGTCTTGCCACCTCCTCTATTCTCCCTTCTAGCTTCTTTCCTGGAACTCTGATCTCAGAATGACCCAAACACACTAGTAACCCTGTCACAGGGCCTTTACATGAGCCATTGCCACTGACGACCACCCTCATTGCCCAAGGATGGGGCTTGGCTAGCTCCTCCAAACTTTTGCTCAAATCTCAGTTGCACAACAAGAAATTCCCAAATCTCATTTCTCCTGTCAATGCCTTTTTAAACATTGCAAACTATCTCACCCTCCACCCTTAATCCCCTGAAGGAGTACAGAAAAATTCACCCAAAAATATGACTCCCTGGTATAAAATGTATTTTGAATTGAAAGCCAGTAGAGATAACAAGCCTTGGAAACTGCTTTCTTTCCTCTATTTCCAGGAAGACCCCTGGGATACATGCAGGAGAACAATTGTCCTTCCCTCCCCTCCCTGTTATCTCATTATCCAGTTTTAGGAATGAGGATCAAGAATGCAACCAGACCCAGCCCAACCCTTTTTCAAAATAATGCCTGTCTTTCAGGTTAATTTAATTTCCAAAGAGAATCATTTACAAGTCAATCTCTTTCCTGCATCCATTCATTTTGCCAAGTTTATATTCTTTCTGCCCAGTAACCATTTAGTGTCCCTGAACTGAATTACCTATATTCCCCACCTCCCCCCAACCCCAGGAAGATGTGTAAGTATTTGGGATATTGGGCAATCACTCTGTGACTCTACCCTTGTGTGTGGTAACAATAAACTTTGTATACCGTTCTTCTTATTAACCTGCTTGATCATGAGTTGATTGTTCAGCAAAACTTCTGATGGCAGAGGGGAAGTTTTCCCTTAACCTCCACACCCACTATGCTGCTCTACTTTTTCTTTATTCCATAGCATTTGCCTTTTAACTTACTATAAAATCGACTTATTTCTTATCTATCTTATATCTATCCATTATCTGTTATCTATCTATCTTATTTGTCTATCTTTCCTAGCTAGAATATAAGCTCTAGGAAGACAAGAATCTTGGCCTGTTTTTATTCAGATGTATTTCAAATGCCTAGAACAACGTCTAGTATATTAACAGATGTTCAATAATATTTGGGTAAATGACAGAATTCTTTGATATTATAAAAATTAGTCATACTATGCCTTGACCCACCATCCATACCAAATACGAATAATGATGTTTTGTATTATAAGGAAACAAAATAAACTAAACAAAAAGCCAGGTCTGTTTCAGTTTGCTGGGATAAAAATTCAGCAAAAGAACAATTCATCCCATTTTTTCGTTCACGAAATATTTATGGAGGGACCCTGCTGTACCAGCAATATACACACAGCCAGCTTTTTAATTGTAGGTGGAGTAATGGCGTGTTGTAATGTGAGGGCATCTAGAACTTTCTCAGATTGCTAATGACTCCGGGGATGCCAGAGTCCAGAGGGGGCTACCTATACTCTGGGGAGGACCCTCATTGGAGCAAAAGAGCTTTGCCTTATCTATTGCCACTGACTGGGGGAAGGCCAATGAGGAGTGCAGGCAACTTTACCCCAAAATATGGCTCACTGATATAGTATTTTTAATTAAAGGTCCTTAGAGACCACCTAAGACTGAAAGAGACTTTCCCCCTAACTACAAAAAGACCTGACAGAGCCACCAAAGAGAACAATTGGTTTTCCTTGCCCTACCTGTTATCTCATCTTCCATTGCAGAAAAGAAGACCAAGAACTGGGCCCAGCCAGTGACTCCTGCCTGCCTGTAATCCTAGCCCTCTGGGAGGCCCAGGTGGGAGGATCCCTTGAGCTCAGGAGTTTCAGACCAGCCTGAGCAAGAAGGAGACCCTGTCTCTACTAAAAATAGAAAAAAGCAGCCTGGCGAGGTGGCTCAGGCCTGTAATCCTAGCACTCTGGGAGGCTAAGGCCAGAGGATCACTTGAACCCAGGAGTTTGAGGTTGCTGTGAGCAAGGCTGATGACATGGCACTCTACTCAGGGTGACAGAGGGAGACTCTGACTCAAAAAAAAAAAAAAAAAAAAGGGCAAGAACACACAATCCCACTTGAACAGATCCTTTCACAAGATTATGTCTGTCTCTCAGGTTCATTCAACTTCCAGAGAGAACCATTCACAAACTAATCTCTGTTCTGCTATCTCTTCATTCTTCCTAGTAATCCTTTGTTGCCCCTCAGTAGAATTACCCATATTTCTCCTCTCCCCAATCCCTCTGAAATAAGGCTATAGAGGCTGGGTGGGTGGCTCATTCCTGTAAACCCAGCTCTCTGGGAGGCCAAGGCCGGTGGATAGCTCAAGGTCAGGAGTTCAAAAACAGCCTGAGCAAAAGAGAGAGAGAGAGAGAGAGAGAGAGAGACCCCCATCTCTACTAAAAATAGAAAGAAATTATTGGCCACCTAAAAATATATAGAAAAAATTAGCCAGGCATGGTGGCACATGCCTGTATTCCCGGGTACTCAGGAGGTTGAGGCAGAAGGATTGCTTGAGCCCAGGAGTTTGAGGTTGCTGTGAGCTAGGCTGATGCCATGGCACTCTAGTCAGGGCAACAGAGTAAGACTCTGTCTCAAAGAAAAAAAAAAAAAAAGCTATAGAAGTTTCTGGGCCCCAGTAGGATATTAGGTAATCACTCTGTGGTTCCCACCCCCGCTCCTGTCCCATGCATCCTGATACATTTTTATACCTTTTCTCCCTGCCTTTGGTTGGTTGATTTTTCAGAGAATCTCCTAGGGTAAAAAGGAAGTTTCCCCTTGGCCTCCACACCAGTTTAAGAATACTTGATAAAAGCAGGGCGTGGTGGCTCACGCCTGTAATCCTAGCACTCTGGGAGGCTGAGGTGGGCGGATTGCTCGAGGTCAGGGCGGATTGCTCGAGGTCAGGAGTTCGAAACCAGCCTGAGCAAGAGTGAGACCCGTCTCTACTATAAATAGAAACAAATTAATTGGCCAACTAATATATATATATAAAATTAGCTGGGCATGGTGGCGCATACCTGTAGTCCCAGCTACTCGGGAGGCTGAGGCAGCAGGATTGCTTGAGCCCAGGAGATTGAGGTTGCTGTGAGCTAGGCTGACGCCAAGGCACTCACTCTAGCCTGGTCAACAAGCGAGACTCTGTCTCAAAAAAAAAAAAAAAAAAAGAATACTTGATAAAGACCAGAGAAGGAGAGAAAGGCGGGCTAACAAGAGGAGATGGTGGGTGTCTCCTTCACATTTTTGTGTGAAGACATTGTCGTTTCCTTAGTGTGCTGACCATATTTATTAAAACAAAAATGTTGCATGGCTTTACAAGGAGTGTGTAGTAGAACTAGGAGGAGAACAGAAAACTTAAATCAGGACTGTGCAGAAAATCTGGGCTATATAGGAGACACAGGGAAATTTGGAGGCCTGAACACGGTAGCTGTGTGTCCCTGGGCAAGCTACCTCCTCAGTTCCTGAAACTGCCCTTATAAAATTAGTAAAGGGCCACAAGGTGGGAACTGTGGTTGGGGAATACATATACAACCAGCCATCTTTCCCTAGCTTGCTTTCCTATAATTGCCTACTACTCAGGAGTCACATAGCTGATGGCCATAAAGATTCTCAGCTCTCTCCATTGTTTCCATAGATAACATCACCCTTGTGAAACCTAAGGCTAGTTTGTGAGATATCTTCCAGGCCCTGCATTCCAGTGGAACGGCTGACCCACCCAGGACCCTCCCCTAAGCCCAGGAACTGACTCAACTGGTATTGCGACCCCCATCCAAGAAGTGACTCAGCAAAGAAGACAATTTCTATACCCTTATCCTTCTGCCTTGAACTCAGCCAATTATTAGCAGACCCAACTGCCTAGAACTTTGCCTGCCAGCTACCTTTAAAAACCCTTTCTTCCCAATTCTCCAGGAGACAGATTTGACAACTTCCTCCTCTTTCCTTGCACGGTGCCTGCCATATTAAATTCTTTGTCTGCTATTGATAGGAAAACCCACATCTATTACTTGGCACGTTAGCCACCTGAGACCCCCACCCCTCAAGGAAGACCCTCATCAACATAATACTAACCTATTACCTGGCCCATCAACTAACCTATTACCTGGTGGCATTAGCCACAAGAGACCCCACCCCTCCGGACCACCCCAACTTAATAAAAGTGTGAAAAATCGGGTAGATGGGACTCAGAATTTGGTGGTAAGACCCCTCTGAGCTTGCCCGCCAGCAAATAAACTTTAATTCTCTGAGGTCAGGAGTTGGAGACCAGCCTGAGCAAGAGTGAGACCCTCCTCTCTAGAAAAAAATTGGCCGGGAGCAGTGGCTAACGCCTGTAATCATAGCAATCTGGGAGGCCAAGGTGGGCAGATTGCTCAAGGTCAGGAGTTCAAAACCAGCCTGAGCAAGAGTGAGACCACGTCTCTACTAAAAATAGAAAGAAATTAATTGACCAACTAAAAATATATATACAAAAAACTAGCCAGGCATGGTGGCGCATGCCTGTAGTCCCAGCTACTGGGGAGGCTGAGGCAGCAGGATTGCTTGAGCCCAGGAGATTGAGGTTGCTGTGAGCTAGGCTGATGCCATGGCACTCTAGCCTGGGCAACAGAGCGAGACTCTGTCTCAAAAAAAAAAGAGAGAACTGGGATCTGAACTCCCAAAGAGCAGGGGCAGATCCCTGCCCCTCTGCCTGCAGGGCAGCCTTCGACTTGCCCACCCTGCCTCTGCCTGGACCCTCGGCACTGGCTTCCCACACAGGAACCAGCAGAAGCTGCAGATGCCTCTCCTGCTCTCCCCCAGCACACCCAAGCTCGAGTCCAACACTTTTACTTCTTTTTTTCTTTGAGACAGAGTCTTACTCTGTTGCCCAGGCTAGAGTTCCATGGCATCAGCCTAGCTCACAGCAACCTCAAACTCTTGGGCTCAAGGGATCCTCCTGCCTCAGCCTCCCGAGTAGCTGAGACTACAGGCGTGAGCCAACATCTTCTGACATCTCTCTCAGATCTGCCCACTTCTCTTCGTCTCCACCACCATCACCCTAAGCCAAGACACCGTCATTTTGTGCTGGGGCTAGTACAGCATCCCCTTAATCATTCTGTCGGCGCCCACTGTCTCTTTCCAGTCCACTCTCTGCATTGTAGCCAGTGATTTGTTAAATCTGAAGATACTTATGTCATGCTCCTGCTTAAAATTTTTCATAGTTTTAGATTGTTTTTAAAATTAAAATTAAAAGCCTTGGCTGGTCCGAAGGTAGTGAGTTATCTCACGTGATTGTTCACAGTCAGTTACAGATTGAACTCCTTGTTCTACTACTTTCCCCCCTCCTCACTACTGCACTTGACTAGTCTTAAAAATAAAAAAATTAAAAAAAAATTGAAAGCCTTACAAAGTTTGGCCCCAAAATTCCTATGTTGAAGTCCTAACCTCTGGTACCTCAGAATATGACTATATTTGGACTTAGGGTCTTTAAAGAGGTCATTAAATTAAAATGAGGTCATTAGGGTGGGCCCTAATCGAACATGGCTGATGTCCTTGGAAAAGGAGGAGATTAGGGCACAGACGCCCACCATAGGGAAGACCCACAGGGAAAAGACAGTCATCTGCACACCAAGGAGAGAGGCATCAGGAGAAACTAACCCTGCCAACACCTTGACCTTTGACTTCTATCCTCCAGAATCTTATGAAAATTAATTTCTGTTGTTTCAGCCACCCGCTGGTCTGTGGTACTTTGTTATGGCAGTGCTGATAAACTAACACAGACCCCTACTCACCCCTCCAACTCTATGGCTCTATAAAGTTCCCTTTTTGAAGTTTCTAGAAGTTTCTTGGCCTGCTCCCTCCCACCATTCCCAACCTTCTCTCCCTTGCCTGTTCCCACTACAGAAGTCAAATACCAGCTTTCCCGGACTCCCTCGCAGCAGAGGATGGCCCTGTGATCAGCCCTGGCCCCTGAGCAGTGAGGACTGCAGGAGGCTTCTGGGAAGATCTCTCTTTCCTGGATAAGAGACGGGCTCCCACTTGGTCCTCTCTCTGCTTCCTGCCTTTGAAAATCCTCTGTTGTCTGCAGCTGGGCCACTAAGAAGACACACCTGAGAACAAGAAGTGCCGCATGGATGATCGCAGAGCAGAGAATAGGAGGCGGCCTCCTTGATGACAACGTGGAACAGTCAAGCCTGTGCCAGCAGCCACCGCTTCCGTGCTTTTTTCCATGTGGAGAAAATAAATTGCAATTGGTTTAAGTCACCAGCAGTCAGATTTTCTTGGAGCCAAAAACATCTCTCACCAATGTATGACTCAATGCTTTGCACATGTTGTTCCCTCTTTCTGAGATGTTGTCCCCTCCCCTTCCAACCTCCAGACCTCAGCCCAAGTGCCACTTTCTTGAGGAAGCATTCTCTGAGCCGACCAAATCTAACTTCCTCTGACCCACCCTTATGCTCAAGTTCCATGCCCTTCCTAACACCTACCATGATTGTGTTGGGGGTTTAGAAAAATGATACCCCTGGCTGGGCATAGTGGCTTATACCTATAATCCTAGCACTCCGGAAGACTGAGATGGGAGGATGGCTTGAGACCAGGAGTTTAACACCAATCTGAGTAATATAGTAAGACTCCCTTCTATACAGAAAGAAAGAAAGAAAGAAAGAAAGAAAGAAAGAAAGAAAGAAAGAAAGAAAGAAAGAAAGAAAGAAAGAAAGAAAGAAAGAAAGAAAAGATAGCCCCAAATATGGCACTTTAAAAAGCTGAACTAAAGAAAACAGCCTCAAAGTCTCTCTGACCTTCTCCCCCAGTCCCAGTGTCTCTCAGTCCTGTTTCTCCCAGCAGGAGGCTGTTCTCTGAAGTTATCTACCTAGAAACCAATTGCCTTTGATCCCCTCCCTGAAATGTTATTAACCAGAGAAGATTAAAACTCCTATTGTAGAGGAAGAGACTAAAAATTAAACACCACACCTAGCGCCCAGATGGACCTTGTCCCAAACTATTGTCTGTTCTCTGGTCCCATTCCCAAAGAGAATTGTCCACTGACCATTTTCTGAGCATTGAGCCAGTCATCCCCTGCCCAAATCCCTTACTACCTCTCAAAATGGCCACATTTCCCTCATCTCCCCTTTACTCTGTCTAGCTACATTTGTTTGTGTGTGATTATTTGAAGGATTCTCTTCTCCCACAATTATTGAAAGCAGGGACCATATCTATATTTGTTCACTGTTGCACCTCCAGTAGAGACTACACTCATCTTTGTAGAATGGATGAATGAATGAATGAATGTCAAGAAGGCCCAATCCAAGGCAGGCATTCATTCAGACTAGAATAGTGTCTGGCATATCATTGCAATTCAACAAATACATGTTTTTTGGTTTGTTTTTTTTTTTGAGACACAGTTTCACTGTGTTGCTCAGGCTAGAGTGCCGTGGCGTCAGCCTAACTCACAGCAACCTCAAACTCCTGGGTTTAAGTGATCTTCCTGCCTTAGCCTCCCAAGTGGCAGGGAATACAGGCATGTGCCACCATGCCCAGCTAATTTTATCTATATATTTTTAGTTGGCCAATTAATTGCTTTCTATTTTTAGTAGAGATGGGGTCTTGCTGTTGCTCAGGCTGGTTTTGAACTCCTGACCTTGAGTGATCCACCTGCCTCGGCCTTCCAGAGTGCTAGGATTACAGGTGTGAGCCACCACGCCTGGCTAACAATTACATGTTTAATAAGTAAATGGATTATGGGGGCATACAAGAATGAGAAGAAATGGCCTTAAGGAGCTAATGGCCTTAAGGACCTGACCTTAAGGAGCTTGGAACCTACTAGGGGGAACCAATTGAAAAGCAGAGTGTTTTATTGGGGAATGTGCAGTGGCAGAGAAATATGCAGGGTGCCACTGGAGCTGAAGAAGCTGCACTTAGCCTGTAAGCCTAGCACTCTGGGAGACTGAGGTGGGTGGATTATTTGAGTTCAGGAGTTTGAGACCAGCCTGAGCAAGAGCAAGACCCCATCTCTACTAAAAAATAGAAAGAAATTAATTGGCCAACTAAAAATATACACAGGCCAGGCGCGGTGGCTCACGCCTGTAATCCTAGCGCTCTGGGAAACCAAGGCAGGCGGATTGCTCGAGGTCAGGAGTTCGAAACCAGCCTGAGCGAGACCTCATCTGAAGTATAAATAGAAAGAAATTAATTGACCAACTAAAAATATATATACAAAAAATTAGCCAGGCATGGTGGCGTATGCCTGCAGTCCCAGCTACTCAAGAGGCTGAGGCAGCAGGATTGCTTGAGCCCAGGAAATTGAGGTTGCTGTGAGCTAGGCTGATGCCATGGCACTCACTCTAGCCTGGGCAACAAAGTGAGACTCTGTCTCAAAAAAATAAAAATATATAGAAAAACTTAGCAGGGCATGGTGGCGCATGCCTATAGTCCCAGCTACTGTGGAGGCTGAGGCAGTAGAATCACTTGAGCCCAGGACTTTGAGGTTGCTGTGAGCTAGGCTGATACTACTGCACTCTAGCCAGGCAACAGAGTGAGACCCTGTCTCAAAAAAAAAGAAAGAAGCTGCACTTAACCAGGCCTGGTGGAGAGTGAGGGTAGCAGGGAAATGCAGTCAGGAGCTGTCAGGGAGTTGGAGCTGGCCACGTGCACCCTTGCCTGGGATTGCAGGGCGCACGTGCACTGCTGAGGAGCAGACTGGGGGGGGAGGGAGAAGGAAAGCTGGAAGCAGCTCATCCGAGCATCAAGGCCCAGGTGACAAGGCGCAGCTTGCAGCCAGCTGGTGGCTGGACTTGGTCCTGCAGGCCGTGGGGCGCCCCTGGGCAGTTTCAGGCAGGGGACTGGCATGGTCAGATGACATGCTAGCTGTGGAAGAAAGGCAGCTCCGAGTCCTGCAGGTGCCAGCTTTGCCGTTGTTATCTACCCTTCTAACTGGGATGCTTCCAAGTCCTACCCTAGGTTTCTACACGCAAGCTGTTCTGAAAAACAAATCAACCCTGCTAACTGAGCAAGGAAACAGGTTTATCAGAGACTTCGGCGCCTGCCTCGCAGTACCTCTGTGCCACGCCATGTGCTGGGCGTCTGTAAAGTCCACGTGTGGATCTCCACGGCCTCCAGTTTCCCCACACCCTCCTCTCACTGGCCTTTCCATATTTCTGACCCCAGATACCCTCTCTAGAGTTTATGTCCAGGCCCTTTCAGCCCCATAACCATTCCACCTCCATCCACTGCTCCTACATTCCTTCCTCAGAGGACAGCCTACACCTCTTCCTCGCAACTGTCAATCTAGTTTTAGGAAGAGTCTCAGGGACAATCTTTTCATGGGTGCAGATCCCCACATCCCCCAAGGAAATGTCATTTGTCATAAAAATCTTTTTTTTTTTTTTTTTTTTTTTGTTAGGCAGGGTCTTGCTTTGTGGTGCTTGGTAGAGTGCAGTGGAGTCATCATAGCTCACTGCAGCCTCCAATTCCTGGGCTCCAGTGATCCTCCTGCCTCAGCCTCCTGAGTAGTTGGGACTACAGGCGTGTGCCACCATGCTCAGCTAATTTTTCTATGTTTTTTTGTAGAGACAGGGTCTCACTTTTGCTCAAGCTGAGCAAAACTCCTGACCTCAAGCAGTCCTCCCACCTCAGCCTCCCAAAGTGCTAGGATTACAGGCGTGAGCCACCCCATGCCTGGCCCCTGTTATAAAGTCTTTCTTGGTCATGACATCCTCCCCTGGGTAAGTGAGAGGCTGCAGGCTTTAAATATAAAACAGGCAGGTTAGATCTGATAAGAATCTGGCATTGGGATCCAACACTGCATCTCAAATGTGAAAACTGCATGGTGTGACCCCATTGTCCATAGACATATGATTCAATAAACAAAATGGAGCACCTAGATATAGCAGAATGAATGCTATCCAGCCTTAAAACAGAATGAAATTCTGACACATGGGCCAATATGGATGAACCTTGAAGACATGGTGCTAAGTGAAATGGGCCAGACACAAAAGGATACATACGGTATGATTCCACACACCTGAGATGAATAGAATAGATAGAGACAGAAAGTAGAATGGCAGGTGACACAGGGCCAGGGGGGAGGAATGAGGAGCTGTTGTTCAATGGGTACAGAGTTTCAGTTTGGGAAGATGAAAGAGTTCTGGAGATGGACGGTGGAGATGGCTGCACAACAATGAATGTGCTTAATGCCACAGACCTGTACACTTAAAAATGGTTAAATGGTAAATTTCATATTGCATATATTTTACCACCATTTTTTTTTAAGTATGATGTATGGCAAAATGTTCCCTTCAATGATGGGCAGGAGGATCACTTGAGCCAGGAGTTCAAGGCTGCAGTGAGCTATGATGGCACTGCTGCACTCTAGCCTGGACGACAGAGCTAGACCCAGTCTTTAAAAAAAAAAAATTTAAGATAGAATTACCATACGATCCAGCAATCTACTTCTGGGTGTATATCAAAAAGAATTAGTGGGCGGATCGCTCAAGATCAGGAGTTCGAAACCAGCCTGAGCAAGAGTGAGACCCCCCCCATCTCTACTATATAAATAGAAAGAAATTAATTGGCCAACTAATATATATAGAAAAAATTAGCTAGGCATGGTGGCGCATGCCTGTAGTCCCAGCTACTCGGGAGGCTGAGGCAGCAGGATCACTTGAGCCCAGGAGTTTGAGGTTGCTGTGAGCTAGGCTGATGCCACAGCACTTACTCTAGCCTGGGCAACAAAGTGAGACTCTGTCTCAAAAAAAAAAAAAAAAAAGAATTAAAAGCAAGGTCTCAAAGAGATGTATACACCCATGTTCATAGCAGCCTTATTCACAGTAGCTAAAAGGTGAAAGTGCCCACCCATGGATGTTTAAACACAGTATGGTATATACATACCATGGAATATTGTTCAGCCTTCAAAAGGGAGGGAATTCTGACATACGCTCTAACATGGATGAATCTTATGACATTATGCTAAATTAAATAAGCCAGACACAAGAAGACAAATACTACTACCACTTATAGGAGGTACCTAGAGTCATCACATTCATGTAGACAGAAAATATAATAGAATGGTGGGTACCAGAGACTGGGAGTGAGGGAATGGGGAGTTCTTGTTTAATGGGAACAGAGTTTCAGTTTTGTAAGATGAAAACAGTCTGGAGACTGGTTGCTCGACTATGTGAACGTACAGCAATGCCGAACTCTATGCTTAAACATGGTTAACACGGTAAATTTTCTTATGTGTATCCTAACTCAATTAAATATTTGAC